ACATGACTCCACCCCCCTTTTGAAAAGTAAGATTTGAATCAATCTCTGAAGGAACACAAGAACGATCTCCACCATTGGGACAGATCGGAGTTTATCGATCGTCTGTTCGGCTCATGACATGGAAGGTTCATAATAGAACTTAGATGACAAAATCTTCAGTTTTACTCCAATGAGTCGATGCAAAAATGAATCCCCCCCCCCCACAACAAGAACTCCTCCATCGAGTATTCTGTAGGACCTCCATGATTGGTGAGGACGGCACCGAGTTCTTCCAGCATGGAATGAACAAGTTGGCGACATACTGCAACATCGATCTTTTTCCATTCTTCAAGAACGACCTCTTTTGGACCCTGGATGGAGAGCGATGCTCAGCTTGTCTCTTCAGAATCCCCCATAGGTGTTGGATTGGGTTCAGATCAGGAGACATACTTGGCCATGGAATCCCTTTCACCCAGTTTTGGATCGTTGTCATGTCGAAAAGTGCCCGACGACCGAGGGCACGGAGTGATGGGAGCATCTTCTCTTTCAATATAGAGCCATACATCTGTGAATTCATGACACCATCAATGAAATGCAGCTCCCCGACACCAGCAGCACTCACGCAGCCCCACAGAAGTACACTGCCACCACCATGTTTTCACAGTAGGCACCATGCATTTTTCTTTGTACTTCTCACCTTCGCGACGCCATATAGTTTTGAAGCCATCAGTTCCAAAAACATTTATCTTGGTCTCATCACTCCAGAGTGCAGAGTCCAGTAGTCTTCTTTTTCAGCATGGGGCCCTGGCAAATTCTAGGCGGGCTTTTTTTTTTCATGGGCTTTAGGAGAAGCTTCCTTTGTGGATGACACCCATGCATGCCATTCCTCTGCAGTGTACGCCGTGTTGTGTCACAGGAAACAATCGTCCCCAGTTTGGCTTTCTACTTCTTTAGCCAACTGCAGTGAACTTGCATGGCGATTTTCTTCAACCCTTTCCATCAGAAGACGCTCCTGTTGAGGCGTTAACTTCCGTGGACGCGGCCTGGGCTTCTCTGTGAGATGGTTGCAGAATCCATCTTTGTTACATTTTTGTATTTCACTTTTGCTCCAGTATTCTGACCGATAAGTAAAGCTTTGCTGATCTTCTTTGTAGCTGTCACCTTTCTTGTGGATTTTCATCAACCTTCTCATCAGAAGACACTCCTGTTGAGGTACTAACTTCTGAGGACAGCCTGGACGTCTCTGTGACATGGTTGCAGTTCCATCTTTGTTACACTTTTGCTCCAGAATCCAGTAAGACTTTGCTGATCTTCTTGTAGCTGTCACCTTTCTTGTGTAAAGAAATTATTCTCTTTCTCTGGCCTTGTGACATGTCTCTTTCATGTGGTGCCATTGATGACAACGTAAAATGGGCGGGGTTTTCTTTGTTAAGTCACACCTTTTATAATCACCTGTCCTCTGGACACCTGTTTAATGAATAATTAGACTCACCTGGAGCTGAATTCTCGTTCATTAGGATTTTGTTGTGTAAAATTTAGCTTTGCTCCTAAGACTTTCATTGGGGGCGTGTTCATTTTTGCAACATGGTCTTGGATAAATTTGTTAGGAAAAATACTTTTTTTGTGTGCGCAAATCAACAAATCTTGTCTGCAATCAACGACCCGCATTGGTGGGAGGATTTTGTAGTATAGGGTCCCATAGAAAATGTGGATTCTGAAAGGAAAGGTTTTCTGAGCGATCTGTTGGGGTGGACGCGTGTATGTCGAGCTCTGTGTATACATTACACACGATAACGATTGTACATTGCTCTCTGCAGAGAACGAAGGTGGAAAGTTGCGGGAAATGTTCACACAAATCCTCGAAGGTTTCTAATTGAATAACTTTATTATCACATTATTATAATACAAGATTTATATGGCGCCATCAGTTTGTTGGGTTGTCTGTCCGCGGTGGAGGAGGCGGTCCCTCAATTCTTGGGCCAGTGTAGTACCAGGCCATTGCGCCCTTTGCAGAAGTCCGGCGTGGTGATATCACTCCGGGTCTCCACCGACACCAACCTCCGCCTCCCCCGCATGCTCATCTGGATGCAGTCCGTCACCTTCACAGCCAGATCCCATCTCTGCCTGCAGGAACAGAGAGATGAGTGAGACCTCAGACACCGAGACCCCCCCCCCCTCCCACCGAGGAGACACAGATCCTGCTGTACAGCGCCGCGGTATATGTCAGAGCTATATACATGTACAATAATAGTGTGAGGGGGAGGAGGGCATTAGAGTGTAAGCTCCTCCGGTACAGAGACTGATGTGACTGTGGGGGGAGGGGACATTAGAGTGTAAACTTTTGTTTATTAAAAATCTTACAAACAAAAACATCTTACTTCAGCAAAGAAAACAAAACAGAACAAATCATATTTTAACTCCTCACCTACCGGACACTTCTACCCCCTTCCTGCCTACAGGGCACTTCTACCCCCTTCCTGCCCACCGGGCACTTCTACCCCCTTCCTGCCTACAGGCACTTCTACCCCCTTCCTGCCCACCGGGCACTTCTACCCCCTTCCTGCCTACAGGGCACTTCTACCCCCTTCCTGCCTACAGGGCACTTCTACCCCCTTCCTGCCCACCGGACACGTCTACCCCCTTCCTGCCCACCGGGCACTTCTACCCCCTTCCTGCCTACAGGACACTTCTACCCCCTTCCTGCCCACCGGGACACGTCTACCCCCTTCCTGCCCACCGGGCACACTTCTACCCCCTTCCTGCCTACAGGGCACTTCTACCCCCTTCCTGCCTACCGGGCACTTCTACCCCCTTCCTGCCTACAGGGCACTTCTACCCCCTTCCTGCCTACAGGGCACTTCTACCCCCTTCCTGCCTACAGGGCACTTCTACCCCCTTCCTGCCCCTCGGGCACTTCTACCCCCTTCCTGCCTACAGGGCACTTCTACCCCCTTCCTGCCTACAGGGCACTTCTACCCCCTTCCTGCCTACAGGGCACTTCTACCCCCTTCCTGCCCCTCGGGCACTTCTACCCCCTTCCTGCCTACCGGACACTTCTACCCCCTTCCTGCCCTCGGGCACTTCTACCCCCTTCCTGCCTACAGGGCACTTCTACCCCCTTCCTGCCTACCGGACACTTCTACCCCTTCCTGCCCCTCGGGCACTTCTACCCCCTTCCTGCCTACAGGGCACTTCTACCCCCTTCCTGCCTACAGGACACTTCTACCCCCTTCCTGCCTACAGGGCACTTCTACCCCCTTCCTGCCTACCGGGCACTTCTACCCCCTTCCTGCCTACAGGGCACTTCTACCCCCTTCCTGCCTACAGGACACTTCTACCCCCTCCTGCCCACCGGGCACTTCTATCCCCTTCCTGCCTACAGGGCACTTCTACCCCCTTCCTGCCTACAGGACACTTCTACCCCCTTCCTGCCTACCGGGCACTTCTACCCCCTTCCTGCCTACAGGACACTTCTACCCCCTTCCTGCCTACCGGGCACTTCTACCCCCTTCCTGCCTACCGGGCACTTCTACCCCCTTCCTGCCTACAGGACACTTCTACCCCCTTCCTGCCTACCGGGCACTTCTACCCCCTTCCTGCCTACAGGACACTTCTACCCCCTTCCTGCCCACCGGGCACTTCTATCCCCTTCCTGCCTACAGGGCACTTCTACCCCCTTCCTGCCTACAGGACACTTCTACCCCCTTCCTGCCTACCGGGCACTTCTACCCCCTTCCTGCCTACAGGACACTTCTACCCCCTTCCTGCCTACCGGGCACTTCTACCCCCTTCCTGCCTACCGGGCACTTCTACCCCCTTCCTGCCTACAGGGCACTTCTACCCCCTCCTGCCTACCGGGCACTTCTACCCCCTTCCTGCCTACAGGACACTTCTACCCCCTTCCTGCCTACCGGGCACTTCTACCCCCTTCCTGCCTACAGGGCACTTCTACCCCCTTCCTGCCTACAGGACACTTCTACCCCCTTCCCGCCTACAGGACACTTCTACCCCCTTCCCGCCTACAGGACACTTCTACCCCCTTCCCGCCTACAGGGCACTTCTACCCCCTTCCCGCCTACCGGGCACTTCTACCCCCTTCCCGCCTACCGGACACTTCTACCCCCTTCCTGCCTACAGGGCACTTCTACCCCCTTCCTGCCTACAGGACACTTCTACCCCCTTCCTGCCTACAGGACACTTCTACCCCCTTCCTGCCTACAGGACACTTCTACCCCCTTCCTGCCTACAGGACACTTCTACCCCCTTCCTGCCTACAGGACACTTCTACCCCCTTCCTGCCTACAGGGCACTTCTACCCCCTTCCCGCCTACCGGGCACTTCTACCCCCTTCCCGCCTACCGGACACTTCTACCCCCTTCCTGCCTACAGGGCACTTCTACCCCCTTCCTGCCTACAGGGCACTTCTACCCCCTTCCTGCCTACCGGGCACTTCTACCCCCTTCCTGCCTACAGGACACTTCTACCCCCTTCCTGCCTACCGGCACTTCTCCCCCCTTCCTGCCTACAGGGCACTTCTACCCCCTTCCTGCCTACAGGACACTTCTACCCCCTTCCTGCCTACCGGATACTTCCCCCCCCTTCCCCCCCAGGCCAATTTCCAGCTTTCAGCGCTATCACACTTTGAATGACAATTGCGCGGTCATGCAATACTGTACCCATATAAAATTTTTAGCATTTTTTTGTGACAGAGCTTTCTTTTGGTGGTATTTAATCACCTCGGGGTTTTTTTTTTCTTCTTCAAAAAAAACCACAGAAAATTAAAAAAAAAACAAGAAATTTTTTCTTAGTTTTTGTTATACAATTTTGTAAATAAGTGATTTTTCTCCTTCACTGATGTGCGCTAATGAGGCTGCAGTGATGGGCACTGATAGGGGGCACTGATGAGGAGGAACTGATGGGCACTGATGAGGAGGCACTGGTAGGTGGCACTGATGGGCACTGATGAGGAGGCACTGGTAGGTGGCACTGATGGGCACTGATGAGGAGGCACTGGTAGGCTGCACTGATGGGCATTGACAGGCATGACTGATGGGCACTTAAAGGCAGCACTCATATATGGCACTGATAGGTGGCACTGATCGTCAGCACTGATGGGCACTGACTGGCAGCACTGATAGGTGGCACTGATGGGTGACACTGACTGGCACTGATAGGCGGCACTGACTGGCACTGATAGGCGGCACTGAAAGGCAGCTCAGATGGACACTGACAGGTGGCACTGCTGGGGCTACACTGATGATCAGTGTACATGTCCCCTCCGAGGAATGCCGATTACCGGCTCTCCGCTCCTCTCCTCTGTCAGCGTGACAGCTCTTGAGGAGTGAAATGCAGATAACCGGCATTTCCCTGTTTACATGTGATCAGCTGTGATTGGACACAACTGATCACATGACCGAGCTGACATCTTCGGCTCTTTCTGTGGATCAGTAATCCGCTGTGTCCGAGGAACACAGCACACCGCCGATTGCCGTGCTGCGCTCTCTCTGAGCCACACATGCGCAGTGAGAATGGAAGGACGTCATATGACGTCCTATCAGAATGAGAGAACCGCCTTGTGTCCGTCATTGGACTATAGAGCGGGCGGGAGGGGGTTAATATTATTATTATCTTTATATTCAGGGGCGGACTGACAACTCATGGGGCCCCCGGGCAATAGGGGATCATGGGGCCCCCGGGCAATAGGGGTTCATGGGGCCCCCGGGCAATAGGGGTTCATGGGGCCCACGGGCAATAGGGGATCATGGGGCCCCCGGGCAATAGGAGTTCATGGGGCCCCCGGGCAATAGGGGATCATGGGGCCCCTGTGTCCTTGCCCAAACTCAAAAAAGCCTATGAAAAAAGTACCAGGGGCATCTCATGGGGCCCCCTACTGACCCCGGGCCCTCAGGCAGTGCCAGAGTTCCCGAATGGTCGGGAAATGGTCGTGGGGAAAAAAAGAACAGAAATTTCATTTAAGCGCAGCGTTGCATGACCGCGCAATTGTAACGCAGAGCCGTATCGCCAAAATATGGCCTGGTCAGGAAGCGGGGGGGGGGGGGTAAATGCTCAGGAGGGGGAGGGGTTAAAAAGCACCTATCTATGCTACTCTGACTAGCCTCCACTCCTCCTAAATTGATGATGAAATTTGATTTTTTTTTTAGTCCAAAATATAGTATTTTTCAAACAAAATTTTTTTTTTAAGTGCAAAAAATAAAAAATGCACATGCGATCAAATACCACCAAAAGAAAGCGCAATTCGTGGGGGTAAAAAAAAGGAAGTCGATGTCTTTTGGGTGCAGCGTTGCACAACCGCGCAATTGTAATGCCAAACATGGCCTGGTCCGGAAAGGGGGGCGGGGTAAATGCTCTGGAGGGGGAGGGGTAAGCACCTCGCTGGAAAGCGAATCCCGTGTCGTGCCCTGGCCACGCCTCCACTCCTATATTGATGACGAAATTTGATTTTTTTTACTGGACGTGTTTAATCGCAAAAAGTAAAAAAAATTATTTTCTCAAAATTGGCGTTTTTGTTTTGTTTTTTATAGCTCAAAAAATATAAAATATATAAAATATGAAAATAAACGCAGAGGCGGCTAAATTCCACTGAAAGAAAGCTCCATTTGTGGGGAAAAAAAGGACAGAAATTTCATTTGGGTGCAGCGTTGCACGACCGCGCAATTGTAATGCAGTGCCCAGGGGCGGACTGACAACTCATGGGGCCCCCGGGCAATAGGGGATCATGGGGCCCTGTGTCCTTGCCCACACTCAAAAAAAAAGCCTATGAAAAAGGTACCAGGGGCATCTCATGGGGCCCCCTACTGACCCTGGGCCCTGGGGCAGTGCCCCAGTTTCCAAATGGTCAGTCCGCCCCTGGCAGTGCCATATCACCTGGTCAGGAAGGGGGGGGGGGAGGGGTAAATGCTCAGAAGGGGGAGGGGTTAAAAAGCACCTATCTACTCCGACTAGCACCTCGCTGAAACGTGAATCCCACACCTCCGCTGATGACAAAATCAGATTTTTTACATTTGCATAGAGAACCACAGAGACCCAGTGTTGCCATCACTGGATCTAAAATAAGGTCTGTAATGATAATGGAAATGTTTTATTGAAAGATTTCATTACCATGGTGATGAGAGGTGAGGGGAGAGGGGAAGGAGGGGGGGGGGGGGGAGAAGGGGGGGGGGGCAATAAAAAATACGCAGATTAAACGTCAACTTTAACACACAAAAAAAATGTCATATTTTCCCATTTGGACGACAATAAAACGTGATTTCTGTATAAAACAAATCGCTTTTCCTTGGAGGATCCGACAGACGAGGGAGCTGTGGGGGGTGTTCAGGGTCTAGGACCCCGCTGACATCATCTCCGGACCTCCCGAGGGCCCGGTCTGTGGCCCCCGAATGGCAAGAAGAATGGAAGCCAGACAATGGGACAAGAATGCCCCCGAGAGGAGGAGCCGGAGAAATCCCACCAATGGGAACAGAGAGAGGACTGTGTTCCAGCAATCTCCAAGGTATCTGCCCATTATGAGGGGCTCCCACCATCCCTGTGCTGAGTTCCCGGGTCTGTACACCCGCTGTGCCCATTATGAGGGGTTCCCACCATCCCTGTGCTGAGTTCCCGGGTCTGTACACCCGCTGTGCCCATTATGAGGGGTTCCCACCATCCCTGTGCTGAGTTCCCGGGTCTGTACACCCGCTGTGCCCATTATGAGGGGTTCCCACCATCCCTGTGCTGAGTTCCCGGGTCTGTACACCCGCTGTGCCCATTATGAGGGGTTCCCACCATCCCTGTGCCGAGTTCCCGGGTCTGTACACCCGCTGTGCCCAATATGAGGGGTTCCCCACCATCCCTGTGCCGAGTTCCCGGGTCTGTACACCCGCTGTGCCCATTATGAGGGGTTCCCACCATCCCTGTGCCGAGTTCCCGGGTCTGTACACTCGCTGTGCCCATTATGAGGGGTTCCCACCATCCCTGTGCCGAGTTCCCGGGTCTGTACACCCGCTGTGCCCATTATGAGGGGTTCCCACCATCCCTGTGCCGAGTTCCCGGGTCTGTACACCCGCTGTGCCCATTATGAGGGGTTCCCACCATCCCTGTGCCGAGTTCCCGGGTCTGTACACTCGCTGTGCCCATTATGAGGGGTTCCCACCATCCCTGTGCCGAGTTCCCGGGTCTGTACACCCGCTGTGCCCATTATGAGGGGTTCCCACCATCCCTGTGCCGAGTTCCCGGTCTGTACACTTGCTGTGCCCATTATGAGGGGTTCCCACCATCCCTGTGCCGAGTTCCCGGGTCTGTACACTTGTTGTGCCCATTATGAGGGGTTCCCACCATCCCTGTGCCGAGTTCCCGGGTCTGTACACCCGCTGTGCCCATTATGAGGGGTTCCCACCATCCCTGTGCCGAGTTCCCGGGTCTGTACACTCGTTGTGCCCATTATGAGGGGTTCCCACCATCCCTGTGCTGAGTTCCCGGGTCTGTACACTCGTTGTGCCCATTATGAGGGGTTCCCACCATCCCTGTGCTGAGTTCCCGGGTCTGTACACTCGCTGTGCCCATTATGAGGGGTTCCCACCATCCCTGTGCCGAGTTCCCGGGTCTGTACACTCGTTGTGCCCATTATGAGGGGTTCCCACCATCCCTGTGCTGAGTTCACTGTAATCTGTAATAAATGCTCTAAATCTGGTAAAAGCTGCAAACCGGCATTTTTTGTACATTTCGGGGGACATCAGAGCCGCCGGCCGGCAAGCGGTTGAACTTTCATTTTTGTGGTCACCATTCCTTCCTCCTTTGTCTCATCTCGGTGCTGATCTCCCAGTGACGTCTCCGCAGCCACTTCCTGTCTCATGGGGCCCCATGATCCCCTATTGCCCGGGGGCCCCATGACTTGTCAGTCCGCCCCTGGTGACAACAGTGGACCAATCCTGCACAATGGGCGTTGAAAAAAGGGCCACTCGCAGTCTCCATCAGAAGCCGGTGTGACCCGGGTGACAACGCAGAAGTACAGAAGGTGGAGCGTTGTCACCCTCACAGGAAGTAACTTCAGGTTCACATCTATGCAGGCGACGGCTGAAGGGTGTTTCCTCGGCGTTATGCGTCTTTGATGCGCCAAAGGTGGTGCGACTCTCATGTGACTTCACACACTCTGCGCTCATCAATTCGATTCAATACAAATTCCAGCATGACAACCCTCCTGCGCTTCTGATAATATACGGGGCGATGCGAAGAGTCGGTCGGCCATATTGGGAATTTCAGCAAAAATTTTCACAGTGCCTCTGCTGGTTGCCAATCCCGTCACCACAGCGCAGCTCACACAAGTTTTTGTAAAGTATTTTCATCTTTTTTATTCTATTCATATCTATTCTATTCTATCCGTTTCTATTCATTCTAATCAAAATTCGATTTTCAGAAGGCAGTTATATTCTTTCTATTCTATTCTATTCTTTGATTCTCTATTTCAGTTTTTTCTATTTCTTTTTTTTTTTTATTCTGTTCCTTTATTTTCTATGCTATTATGCTCTGTTTAACTCTATTCTAATTTAATCTTTTGTATTCTTTTCTATTCTATTCTTTGATTATCTAATACAATTTTTTTTATTCTTTTGATTCTATTCTGTTCCTTTATTTTCTGTTCTATTATGCTCTTAACTTTATTCTTTTTTCTATTCTATTCTAATTTATTATATTCTTTTCTATTCTATTCTTTTTTTTTTTATTCTTTATTTTTTTTTTTTTTATTTATTCTTTTTTCTTCTATTCTATTCTAATATATTATTTTTTTTTTTTTTTTTTTAATTTAATTTTTGTTTTCTTTTCTATTCTATTTTTTTATTCTCTATTTCAATTTTTTTTTTTTTTTTTTTTTTTTTTTTTTTTTTTCCTTTTTTTTTCTGTTCTATTATGCTCTTAACTCTATTCTTTTTTTTTTTATTTTTTTTTTTCTTTTCTTTTCTTTTCTTTTTTCTATTCTAATTCATTATATTATTTCCTCTTTTTTTTTTTTTTTTTTATGCTAATATTTATATTATTTTCTATTCTATTCTTCAATCTTCTATTCTATTTTTTTTTTTTTTATTTTAATATTTTTTTTTCTTTTCTATTCTGTTCTTTGATTTTCTATTCTATTCTGATTGATTTTATTATTTTCTATTTTATTTTTTTTTTTTTCTCTTTTTTTCTTTTTTTTTTTTTTTTTTTTTTTTTTTTTTTTCTTTTTTTTTAATCTTTTCTATTTTTTTTTTTTTTCTATTTTTTTTTTTATTTATTTTTTTTTCTAATTTGTTTTTTTTTTTTTTTTTTCTATTCTATTTTTTTTCTGCTATTTTATTCTAATCTATTCTTTTTTTTTTTTAATTTAATCTTTTTTTTTTTTTTTCTATTCTATTTTTTTTTCTCTATTCTAATTTTTTTAGTCTTTTTTTTATTCTGTTTTTTTTTTTTTTCTTTTCTATTATGCTCTTAACTCTATTCTTTTCTATTTTTTTTCTTTATTCTAATATTCTTTTTTTTTTTTTTTATTTCTTCAATCTT